AAGGTAGCTTTAATATCATCGCTAACCCCCCGCCCGACCAACGGTGAACGCGAGCATGTAGGGGGGGTGTACTCAAACCTCGGGCGAGGTCACTGAGAGACAATTTCCAGTGGTATTAACAACACCAACAAGAAAAAAGCTTAACAAAGCAAAAAGGCAGAGATTAGGTAAATCACCCTACTTAAAATTTGTAAGTAAACGGTAATTCCCGTGAGTAGTTCAAAAGGCCAATTTTGCCTAGTTTGCCGATTTTAGTAGCTATGGGATATGTTTGCCTTTGGAGAACAGTTCTGCATTCCAATGCTACCATAAAATCCCTGCAAGATCCATGGATGGCGTGTAGAAAACCAGAATTTTACAGGCAATTCAACCTACTTAAAAATTTAAGTACGTAGCTATAATACATAAGGACCTAAATAAGACAGTTAGAGACAACCTCACCGAATTTTATTCGCCTGACGTTTCCAAATCCGTCACGCATCCTCCATCAAAGGCGATATCAGAAATGGGTAGTTTATACACAGAGAGTTGCCGTATTTGTAGGCTACAGTCACTATGCCACTGCACGTGTATAGCAATTAATGGCTCCCCTATTGAGAATACTTGCCCATAAAAGTGAACATGGGAGTCCCAGGAAGTAATTGAAAAGAAGAATATGTGATCACCGGGCCATGTGAATAAAATTATTGTCCCAGCGATCACATCTACCTCTTCTCAATGATTGCTCGTTTGTGCGCTAATTGCTTGATGGTCGGCGTGCGGACCGTGAACCACTGAACTTTCGTCACACATTGTGGGTGGAATTTGAATTCCGCTACAAATTCAAATTTGACGGGACCGAAATTCTCGCGAGAGGTGACAGTCGTGTGAGTCGTGTGTTACTTGCTTGACTGGCCTCCAGTCTATAAACAAGTGCACCGACTTGCCCAATCCATATTCGGTGCTGAGACTCAATTTGGCTAAAGCAAGTCGCCACTTGGGGGGACGCACAGGCCAACAGGCCGCCTAACGCCAGCGCCAGGGAACCAGATGGCCGAGCAATCATCACGCCCAAGTCCACCACTTGTGACAAAAGTTCAGCAGGTCACGGTCTGCACGCCGGCCATCAAGCAATTATCGCACAAGCGGACAACTATCCTCGATAGGGGAGTCACTAATTGTCATACGTGTGCAATAACACAGTGACTGTATCTTATAACTACCGCAACCCCCTGTGTATGAATTACCCGTTTCTGCTATTGTCTGTGATGGTGGATCTGCGACGGTTTTCGAAACGTCAAGCGAATAAAATTAATGTCCCATCGATCACATCTACTTCTTCTCTGTTGCTGTATCTACCTAAATAGCTCCACAATTTTATTAATGCCGTAAGCTGCGAATGAGGATACACGATCGCTGGATCAAGAGTATTATTAGCCTGGTGTTTTGGATTCTCATTTGAATCCAGCATCAGAGACAAAGTCAGATAAGGGTAGTGGATTGCCCGGGTGTTAAAGTATATGCAGGATATAGTCGCTAGGCCGCTAAATGCCTATCACAATTAACAGCTCCGGAGTGCATCGCAAATAGTTGCGCGTGGTGGGGTGATTATATGACTAACCCGGTGCTGCCTGCGAAAAAGTTCCCACGCTCATCGCAAGTCGTTGAACGTGGTGCAATAATTATCCGCAGTTGGCTTGCTAACTGCCGGGTTTTCGTCATCCATGTGAGCTCTTTGTCACTTTGGCTCCTCAACACTGACACCAGGCACGATGATTATCCGTACGCTCTCACATGACTAACTACTCTGCGTAGGCAGGGTCTCAGCGCCGAATATGGATCAGAAAATCCTGGCTCGAACGGTTCGCAGCTCACGTAGTTGTTGTATCGGGCGAGAATTTCGGTTTCACCAAACTTGACTGTGTGGCTGTGTCCCGTACAATGAACCGCGACCAGGAAGC